ATGTGTGTGTGTGTATGTGTATGTGTTTGTGTGTGTGTTTTTTTTTTTCTGCCTGTCTATATGTGTCTGTGTCTTCGTCTGTGTCTGTGTCTGTGTCAGTGTCTGTGTCTGTGTCAGTGTCAGTGTAAGTGTCAGTGTCAGTGTGTGTGTCTGTGTCTGTGTCTTCGTCTGTGTCTGTGTCAGTGTGTGTGTCTATGTGTGTGTAGGTGCTTGTGAGTAGGTGACATGGGTGGATGGTAACTAGAGCAAACACTAATTTACCTTGACCATACCCCCCTCCCCCCTCCCGGCCCCCTCTGTTCCGTAGATGAAGAAGGTGACGTGTTCGGAACCCTCACTATCGTCGCCACTCTCTACGCCCTGGTGGGCGGTGGAGGGTGCTTCATCGGTATCTTTTTCTACATGCCAGAGTTTTTCCCCACCAACGTCAGGTAAGGAAATAATCGATTAAGGAATATTTATTTACAAGAATAATCGTCGGATGAGGCTAGAGGATTGATTGAGTAGATGTTTTACGGCACTGTTGACTCAATTTTGGTCATGTAAGTGCCAGGCTAGAGTGAGGAGAATACATGTATGTCAACAATTCTTGTTTTGACATGAATTTATGGCAAATTTTTAGGCTAAGTACGGCCTACTAGTACTTAGAACTACGATAGCCAAGGTGGCAGATGTAATGATGCAATCACTCAGGGGCTGGATGTGATCAAGTGAAAGCTAGAGGGTGTGGCAAGTAGGGACAGACAAGCGTGGCGTCGACTGCTCTGTCTTATGTAGTCTATCTGTTGAAACAATGAGACAGTTTTACAGTGTAGTAGTAGATATCTCTTGCGCGCTCATATGAATAGGAATACCACAGAACTCGGGCCACGATTCCTCAAACGTTTTCGCACTCCTTAAATGATCTACAGTACGCCTATAGCATGTGGAACAACAATTTTTTTGTAATCAATTAAAGAATCGTTTTTAGCATTCTGTTTCACTGAAAATGTTTCCCGTTTTCTTAGGGTAGTATGTACATCCGAAACAGCGTTTGTTTTTTAGTCCTCTTTTTCATGAATATTTTTTTTTCCTATACGAAGTAATAAAAACCTTCGTCAACATTTCTTTGTCGCCGGTAAAGGCAGCGTGCATCGCTCATCCGTTTTATTTTTTTAAACTATAGAACGTTTTACACCCCAATTGACACAGTTTAGGTCATTTAGGAGGCAGGCTCCGAGACAACCTGTCAGGGCCAATTTGGATTCAAAGGGATACACCTCTCGGGCAGAAAGACAGAGACACTGTATAAACATTCATTCCACAGGAAAATCGAACTGCGGTGTGCGGTGTTTTGCGTGCGAAGACGAAGAACCTAGCCCATAGATCAAAGACGTGAATACACTCATCAGTGAGAATTACTACACGCTAAGAGCTAGGGGTGATGATCATTAGATGAGTGATGTCATTCCTCTCAACTTTTGCATCATGGCCACGGGGAAAGCCTAATAGCCACCCACTGACATCGGAATTTCAATTATCGACCTACAGTAATAATAATAAGT